TCTAATTCATCCACTTCCTCTTAGTTACATATGTTACATTTTTGCAGGTCCAGGCAGTTCTTGTCCTTTTGGATGCAGTGCAGTATTTTCATTTGCTTTAATCGATCTCATTAGATGCCTTCTGGGCTAAAAGAAAATATACTAACAAGCCGAATTACCCATGTGCAAACACAGAGTTAAACAACTTCTCCATCATATATGCATTTGTCTCAACCTAAAACACACAGGCAGATATTTCTTTAAAATAACTACATTCAGATAAGCGTTGATACTTGTCTCCAAGTTTTCCCAAGCTACAGAGTGTGCATAAACATATTCATCTAAACTACACAAGTCCTTTTCCTGTTGGAACTCTTACTTAAATATTCTGTAACTTATACAAAGGCTATTGTTACATTTCAGATTTCCTTTTTTCCTACCTCACGATATCAGATATGTCCCCATAAATGATAAAGTCCTGTATAATCTAATATTTGATTCAAAAGCACCTTCATCATATTGATTGCTGATTACTTAAACATCACCCGGACAGTACGTGTTTGACCCTATGCAGCCATACATTCAAAAGCCAAGTGATAGCACTGTCTTCATCTAGGTTCAGATGTTTTAACAGCCATCTGGTGCTAATTTATGCAAACAACCAGGTTTCTTTTTAAATTTTAATTTATTTATTGAGTTTTATTTACCTTTGCAAAGAGGTCAAACAACCATACAGACAGCAGGAAGGAAAGAGCAATTGTAAGTCTAGAATATTTATTGAGACTAGTTGTGCCATGCTCCCAGAATACATTCGGAACATTGTGTGCAAAAGATAACTCGTCCATCAACTTGTGGTATATCGGAAAGATTACGCATAGGAAGAGAATGTGGAGCTTTTCATTTAGTAAGGTCAGCTTGACAAAGAAGTAGCAGAATGTAAAAAATCTAAAATTCAACATCTATTGATATTATTATTATTATTATTATTATTATTATTATTATTATTATTATTATTATTATTATTATTATTAAGTCCACAAAGAGCACAACAACCATTTTCCATCACACCAGCAGCTCCTTTAGGATCTCCAGCTAACCCAACAAGTGTGTCTTTGGACGGGTTCAGACCTACAACCTTCTTGATTCACTGTGCTGCCAAACTGTTTTGGCAATTTTGAATAATTGCTGCAACAAAATAATTGCACTGCGTGGCTTTTCAGGTTGGTAAGCACTCTCTCTAGTTTATCGCCTAAGCACTTTGCAACTTTTAAAACTAGAAGCTGCATCCACAGACACTTTTTCATTAATGGTCTCACACACACAGGCAATCCTACATGGATATCAGGGTTCACTTGGGTTCAGTATCTCGCTAAAGGAAACTTAGAAGTGGAAGAGCTGGGGATCAACGAACGGCCTTTGGAAGAGTAGCCACTATAAACAAGGGCAGATTTGAACCCAGGTCTTTGCATTAGCCTTATGACATATGGGTTGCCTGCTAAACCCAGTTAGCTAAACCAGCACTCTGCACTAATGTTTTCAAAGGAAATGAGCCAGGTTAAACTTAGGAAGCAAATGGAAAGGTGTCCTAAACACAGGAGAGTGGGCATGTTAAACCAGTGATCATCCCCAGCCGGTCATGGCAGATGGCCGCCCCTCCCCGAGCCTGGTTCTGTTGGAGGTTTCTTCCTGTTTAAAGGTTTTTTTTTTTCTTCCCACTGTTGCCAAGTGCTTGCTCATGTGTAGTCTCTCTCGATTATTGTAGCGTCTTTACCTTACATTATAAAGTGCCTTGAGGCGACTGCTGTTGTAATTTGGCGCTGTATAAACTTTGCGTTCATATTTCCATTTGGAGGAAAAGCCCTCTATTTACAACATTTATCAGATATTGTTTGGAAAAAGTATTGTCCATATAGATATTTCCCAAAAGCTTAAAATTTGATCTCAGATTGTTGCTGCGTTTTGTTTTTTCACTGCAGGTGTTTGCAGACTATGAGAAGCTGCTGCACTCTGAGAACTACGTCACCAAGCGACAGTCTCTAAAGGTTTGTCTCCGACCTGTATTGATTTAAATTCCTACTTAGACTTCATGGGATTTTTGGGGTTTTTTTTGGGGGGCGGGGTCTGCACAGCTGGCCTCTCTAATAATAATTTGTCACTTTGATCCCCCCTCCAGCTTCTGGGAGAGCTGTTATTGGACAGACATAACTTCACGGTCATGACGCGGTACATCAGCAGGACAGAGAACCTGAAGCTGATGATGAATCTGCTCCGAGACAAGAGTGCCAACATCCAGTTTGAGGCCTTCCACGTCTTCAAGGTAAACAAACAAACAAACAAAAAAACCAGCAGATGCATTTAATGAGAAATTTGGAAAGAGAGAACATATTTCTCCCATATTGGCTCCTCTTCGTTGGCTTCCTGTTAAATTCAGAATTGGATTTAAAATCTTTCTCACATAAAATCTTGAATAATAAGGCTCATATTATCTTAAAGACCTCATAGTACCATATTAGCCTAATAGAGAACTTCGCTTTCATATCGATGTTTTACTTGTGATTGCTACGATGTTTAAAAGCAGAGCCTTCAGCTTTAAGGGTCCTTTTCTGTAGAGCTAGCTCCCAGTTTGTTTTCGGGAGACCTCCCTCTACTTTTTAGATTAGGCTTAAAACTTTCTTTTTTGACAAATCTTGTTAGAGCTGGATCAGTTGACCCTGAATCCTCCCTTTGCTATGCTACAATAGGCCTAGACTGCTGGGAGCTTCCCATGATCCACTGAGCATTTCTTATTCACTCACCTTGTTTCACTTTCTTTATACACCACTAATATATTTAGTCTTTAGTAATTAAACTCTCTGTTCTCACTGGACATGGCAGATGACCACGCCTCCCTGAGCCTGGTTCTGCTGAAGGTTTCTTCCTTTTAGAAAGGAGTTCTTCCTTCCCACTGTCGCCAAGTGCTTGCTCATAGGGGGTCGTCGGATTGTTGGAGTTTCTTTCTAATATTGTAGGGTATTTACCTTACAATAAAAAGCACATTGAGGTGACTGGTGTTGTCAATCTGCGCTGTATAAATAAAACTAAACTGAATTGAATTTTCCTCCCGTTTTGTCCTTTTTTTGTTTCCCCAAGGTGTTTGTAGCAAACCCCAACAAGACTCAGCCCATCATCGACATCCTGCTCAAGAACCAGACCAAACTCATCGACTTCTTGAGCAACTTCCAGAAGGACCGCACGGACGACGAGCAGTTCAACGACGAGAAGACCTACCTAATCAAACAGATCAGGGATCTGAAGAAACCGGCTTCCTAGAGAAGCATTGCTGCCTGCCCTCTACTTCAACTTTTTATTAATAGGAAGACATAGAAAAAAAACACATTAACAATAATGGTTACTCTATTTGAAAAAAAAATCTTTGAGACATCATTTGTTTTTGTTTTTTTTCCCTCTTTGTCAGTTCATTAAAAACTTGTGCAAGAGTAGTTCTTAATCACTGATCTTTTTTTGTATCTTTTTTTTATCTCATCTGTAGCATGTAGTGCCACAACTCATGGTGTTGGAGGCAGCTGATTTGCCTTGTTGGGGGAGAACCAGGGGTTTAAAAAAAAAAGCTTCAGCCAAAATCCTCCGGGTGGATGAGCATTTTCTTTAATCTTATTAGTCTCTGCTTGCAAATGAATTTTGTAAATTTTTAAAAGCAGTGGCTGCAAACCAGAAAAATGAACAACTTTTTGTTTTCTTGGGAGATGTGTGGTGAGGATGTTGGTGTGTCTGGTTAGGACCAGGTGAAGTATATTTACAGCGTGAATATCTTAATCAATGCATTCTTGGTCATCGGTAAAAGCAATTTTTTTTTTTAGCCAAATGACAATGGTAAAGCTCAGTAGGCCACAACAGTATATTGGGGTATTCTAGCTTAAAAAATTATAGATAATAGTTAAGGGAGGAGGCGGTAAGAGCGAAAAAAAACAACAACTTTGTATTTCAAAAATTATAGTAGCAGACTGGGTAGGAAAAACTCATGAAGTTACTAATTTACAAGTAATTCTGAAATTTAAGGGGAAAAACTAAAGTAATCTGATATAATTAAGAACATTAAACATGTGATTTTATTGAGAAGTGAATTTACGAGGAAAAATGTGTCATATTAGGTCACATTTGAGATTAGTGAATTTAAATTTCTATGATCTTTATTTTTCTCCCCTATGTTTACATCTATTATGGCCCTGATCAGATTTTCCATCATATTTTCATTTGTGCGAGCTAAAAGTCACTGATTGTTTCTTCACTTTAAAGCTGAGGGGAGTGGATTGCATACAGTCCAAAAGGCCAACGTCGCTTCAGTGTGTCACACCAACATGGAACAAGTCTCGTTGCCGGGCTAAAGGCCGAGCCCATCCGTGCTGTTCTAAATTTACTCGCAGGTCTCGAAAACAAACTGATTTCAGTCACTGTTGACTAAAAACAAAAATCTTAAAAACAAGAAAAAAGAAAATGACAATTTTGATCACTGGTTCTCTTTGCTGGTGGCTAATAGCACTTTGTATGATTTTAAATAATAATAATGGTGATTCAATTTGTTTGAAGCTGATCGCTGTTTTCACACTGCTTGATGTTGTTTTTTTAATATATAGTGTCATTTCTCATGTACAGTTTCTGGTTTGAGTGCCATTGTGAGGGAGAACTTGAGGAGGAGGCACTTTGCTGTGTGGATGCTGTAGAGCTGTAAAGATATCTGGGTTTTTTTTTGTTTGTTTCACTCCCTTTTCTGTCTGTACTGTAACGGATGTTTGACTCTGGTTTGGATCTGACATTGTTATCAGAGGACGAGAAGATTCAGAGGTGCCTTTTTTTTGTTTGTTTTGGTGTGTTTTCCTTTCTCTGTACTAGTTTTCTTTCCTGTATTTGCAGTATCTTTTTAGGGGGAGCTTAATTATTATGTTGATGAAAATATGCTCTGATAGAACATATTTGTTGTGATTAAGCAGTGAACCTCTTAACTCACTATATCAGAGTTCCTTTTGCCGTTTGCCACCTTTTAAACTTTTTTTTTTTTTGCTCATCACTTGCCATTGCCATAGTAAACTCGCCGGCAAACAGAACGAGGCCAAAGCCGACCAACGGCAGGATTCAGCGGTGAAACATAACTGTGAAATCAAATAAATGAATAAAAATCCACTTTTAGTTTAAAGCAGCTTCGATTTCTTTCTGTAACTTTAAATCAACTATGAACTTGAAAAAAAAATGCAGACTAAACTTGAGAACAATGTGATTTTATTTCCCAGTAGATGTCTGACAAGCATTCACAGAAATTTTAAAAACAAAGTGAAATGGAGTCATGATAAGTCTCCTAATTAGAGCCCAGACTTTCCTTAAAGGAAGAAGTAAACACTTTAAAAGCTGTTTTGCTTTTTTTTTCCTTAAAGAAAAAGAAAAAGGAAAACAGTTTGTTTTTTTGGGATGACAAAAACCAATACCAGCCATGTTCACATGCCATAGGTTGTGACGGTATATTGCGATATCACACGAGATGCAAATGTAAGCCAACCAGCTTAACATCAGACTTGAACCAGTTGTTTTACAACTATGAGCAGATTTAACCATTCTTCACGATGTCCTCTAAAAGCAGCCACCTTGTTTTTTTCTGCACTTTGATGCTGTTTTACAACATTCACAAAAAAAAAAGAAAAGAATAGATGAGAATGCATGCTTTGCGTGTGTGTGTGTAAGAAAGTGTGTGTTATTTTCCAGGTATTTTTCAGATTATGCAGTAATCACAGTTACTGCCTTTTCTATGATTCGAACTCAAGTTACAAAAACACTTAAACCTCTGTTTACTATACCTGAACGAAAAAAAAAAAATACAAACAAGTGTGTTCATGTAGAAAATTAAAGTTGGTAAAGTCGAGTAAATTCCTTCACGCTCCAAAACCAAACCTTTGACCGTCCTCTCTGCTCTGCAGGAACACTTTTTAAACTTTCATTCAAGCATTATCCATATCCTCAACACGCTTCACTTCAGTGCATTTGGCTTGCGTTTAAAAACAATAACATCCTTACAGTGTGAAACACATCTTTCAAACACACTCACAGCAGCTGCCTTCAAAATAAAAGCAGTAATTTATTTCAAACCGTTCTGTACCGTGAAGACAATCCTGGACAACCAGGAGCTACATGCGTTGTTAATCTCACACTTTTTCATTATTTAGATTTTTATAATTAGCTTTCCCCCCTCCATTTGTTTCAAAAACAAACAGATCTGCATATCACAGTTTAAATAACTATTTTAAATAAATTATTTCTTTGTGGTATCTTATAAACGCTTAAAAAAAAAAATTGTCCATAGTTTCTGTACCTATTTTTTTAATCTTCGATGGATCTATTAATCCGCTTTTAGTGGTGTCCCTTGGAGGTCATTGCATTGCATTGATTTCAGTTTGTTTCCAACTCTCCACTCATGTAATGACCGGACTTGGAAAAGATACATATGTGTAAAATCATATGTGCCACAGATTTGATGCTCATGAAGGAAACAACATTTAGCTCTATTTATTACAGCGGTGAACGATCAAATCTGTGGCACGCAAGCTTAAAACCTGCCTCTGTGGGGGGTGTTTTTTAGGTACGTGGATTTATCGACGGCTCACAGCAGGTGATTCGCAGGACATGCTGGTGCACAGCTTCTTGTTGCTGGGGCTCTCACTCTCAGTCTGTCTGCTGTGCTTTCCGACACAACCATCTGCAATAAATGGCACTGTGGTTAAAACTCGAATCAGCAAAGGAAAATTGGCTGATTCATAACTCCTTTCTGTAATGTATCTGTGAAGATGGTTAAAATAAAAAAAGGCATAGGGTGCCACTTACTGGCAAGATGAAAAGGTGGCGCTGAGGACACTGAAGGGCTTCTTTGCCACTGTGAGGACAGATAAATGTCAGATTCTTTAAGGACATGTTAGCCTTATCTTCAAAAAGCAAGACATCCAGAAGCTGCTGAATCAGAGATCCCCTTATGCACCAGAATAAATTAACATACATCTCCCCTTTCAACATATTCTCTGAGTCTACGTTTGCTACGTTTGCTGAAGTAATGACCCGTTTCTGCAGCCTGGACTTTACTGTAGCTGCAGAAATGTCTACATTGATGGAGGTTTGATATACTCCAAACATCAAACATAAACAGTATGAAATAAAAGGGAACAAAAACAAAACAAGAAAAACATTGTGGACTCACTATGAACTTGCTGATGTTCTTTAGGGTGCCGAATCGCAAGTAGGAAATATCTCCCTTATCTTTGTCCCGGTCCTGGTCAGAGGTGTATATGTGTGTGATACCGGCTCCTCTGATCAGAGGGACACACTCATCACATGGACACTTGGTTACAAAAAGCATGGTTGGCTCATCCGGTTTGATGTCTCGTGTCCTGAAAGGAGGAGGAACACCTATCAAGCGATGATGAACACTGATTTTCTGCATTCATGTTTCCCCTCCCGCCATTTCTGACAAGTTCTGACCTGAAGGTGAGGGCGTTCTGCTCTGCGTGGATAATGTATCTGTATTTACGTCTCTGGCGATCCTCCTGTTTGGCGTCCATCTGAGGGTACTCGGCGTACTGCGAACCTGCGGGGTAAGCGTTGTACCCACAGCCCACCAGGTAGAGACACCCTGTTCCGTTACAGCCAGCCTGAGATGAGGGGACAGATCAAAATACTACATTAACAACATCAGTGTGGGTGTTAAATCTATCGGTAGCTCTGCTTTAAATGATGAAATAAAGTGTTCTTAATTCCATCTGCATTATACCACGGGCTGAAAAGCAGCCCCAAATCACAACACGGCCTCGACTGTGTTTTACAGATGAGTGTGGACACTCACTGTTGTACCCGTCTCCTGACCTCTTCCACACTGAGCTCTCTCTCTCTTTGTCAAAAAACACTCACCATCTCAAACTGTCCAGAGAGAGCAGCCGCTACTGAGGAACGCGTTAGGATTTATTTGAACATTTTGGGCTCATCATCATGACATTTGTCACAACTGCATCCACCCACACTGAAAACCTCAATGCATTAATACAATCATCCATAAATGGATTTATATAATCCAATTTTGTGCAGACAAAAAAAAAAGAAAAAAAAACTCCTTCTGTACGAGCCTGATGTTATTAGGTTTTGTCAGTTTGTCACCGTGTAATCTGGTGTCAAATCCTACCCGAACCGGCACACAGAAATGCCAACAGTCTACTCTTGTGATGAATTAACGAGTTAAATCAAATCAAAAGGAGAAAAGTTGAGCTCACCGACTGTCCTTTGGCCCAGATCACAGTGCCCACACCCACTTTAGGATCCTCTGAAATGACAGTTATGCATGTATAAGAAGCTGGAAACAAATAGCAAACTATTGACAGGGTCATTGTTAGAAATGATCATAACCTTTACTCAGGAAAAAGTCCTGCAGCCAAACAGCAGTTGTTATGATGCTTGTCAGGCAATATGCAATAGAATGTAGAAGAATGTAGTGTGTGTTATGAATAACCAAACACACCTGTCCTGTAGGCCAGTAGCCTGGCCTGGATCATGCAGTGACGAGCCACTTCTTGGGGCACATCTTCATGACAAGGGGGCAGTGGCACTGACGACTCTTCCCTGGCTCACAGAAGGGACACGATCAAATGAGCGTCAAGTACAAGCGCGTGGCGATGTCTGTGCTGAAAACAGATAAATTTGAGAGTTTCTAACCTGTAGAAGCCGTAGTGTTGCTGTGGCACCCCGGCAGCCACTGCAGCTAAAACTTCCACAAGCTCCCTCATGTTGTTTCTCAGGCTGGAGAAGTAAGGCTCCACACAAAAATTCTCCAGGCCCATGTGCTTCAAAATCTCCTGATGCAGCTGGGACTTACGAACCAGGAACTGTCTGGAGAAATCCTTCAGGCATCTCATTCGTTCTCTGGAACGACACAGAATATTTCTTATAAACGGGCTGAAAATCCAGCTGTGGTCATCCAGCAGTTTCGCAACTTGAGTTTGATTCACTCAATAAATATTTCTCCTTCTCAGTCTGGTTAAATTAAAGATGAAAGACGTTCTCTAATTATTTCTGCAGAATAATCTTTGCTTTGTGCCTCATCTACAGGTTTTCTTGCCCTTTGATGGCTGAAGTCTGACCAGAGGTTAAACTAGGATGCAACAGAGTTCCAGCACCTTTAAATATTAAGTAAAAAATAAAAATATATAGTGGGCGGTTTTATACATAATAACATCAAGCGAGTTTATTCTTAATATCTACCTGCCAAACCCCACACTTTAATTCTGACCAAACCTACGTCAGGAATTTAAGTGTTAGGAAAGCAATAACCGTCCTACGACTGTTGTATTCATAACCACACAGCTGAAATAATTTGGTTCTATACATTTACTCTGCTCTCATGAATCAGATACAGATTTCAGGTTTCTCTCTGCCACGTCATTCTCATATTTAAGTTAATTCTGCAGTCACTACAGTTACAAAGCAAACAATTATTTTGACTTCATTTGTTTTGATGCACTTTAGCGCACTACACTGTAATATAAATAATGATGTGCACATTTATTTTATATTGTTTGACACTGATTTATGAAAACTGGACTTTTTTCCCCCTCTGTTTTCTTGAGTTAACCATCTGGTGTTCTCATCAGCTGAGATTTCTGCTTCAGGTTCAGTTTGTTTGGGGGTTTTTTGGTGCGTGTCGAGAACCTCCTTGGGTTTCCCTCTAAAATATACCAGGCAACTGAGTATAACTTATTAGAAAGAGAATTCAGCACATAGCTCAAAAGTGCTGCTGTGCAGAAGCAGATACAGTAAGTATAGTAAGGTACCTGTTGAAAAGCTCCTCTGTGTTCTGCTTTGGGTCGTCATCAGTGATCCTCTCTGTGAAGTCACAATTTCTGGACGTCTCGGTGACAAACTGTGCTAGGCCGGGTGCCAGCGGCTGCAGCAGCATGCAGATGTGAGGACGGCTGTTGGACTTGAGCTTCTCTACTGCTACAGCATCTAGTAAAGCTTCCTCTGAGATGAAGTGAGCTGGACCGCAGTAGCTGGGAGCCATCAGAAACCGGAACGACAGAATGCTGATCTCAGGGTCCCCGGGCCAGAAGGAGATCTGACTGACTCCAGCTGGAGGAGGAGAGCAAACAGCATTTATCCATCTTAGTTAACTTTGCCCGGGAATGAGAGAACAGAGCTCCAAAGTTCAGCAAACTGCTGATGTAGTTTAATGCCGATAATGCAGTTTACAACAGTACGGCAACACCTGTGGGACATATTCAGTCATACGCTCACAGTAAATAAATATATCATTATGGTGTCAAAGTCTGTCCTGAGTTTCTAAGTGTGTTCACTTCTCAATGTGTCATTCCTCCAATCTGATCATAAAGAGGCTGCTCGCCAAGTCTTATAAAACAGGTCCACTTCAAAGTAAATGAAAGTAAATGAAAGGAGGTGCAGTACCAGAAAGGCTGCAGTTATTCTGACTACAGTTAGGGTGGTGCCTCAAAGTGACAGCAATGTGGTGGACTCCAAAACACACAGAGGCTGGAATGTGTAAGGGTGAGACAACAGAAGGGCAGGTACTTTGGTTCATGCAATCACAATCAGTCATAATCAGTGGGGCGTACATGTCACATTGCATTTTTGATGAATTTGTGTCATAACTATGTTTATAAAGCAGGCCATTGGTCCAAGATATGTAGTTCTGCCTGATCAAGAACATCTCGTTATTTGAGAGTGTGACACAGAAACACATTCACGCTGCGTGTTGTTTTTAGGCTCCCTTAATGCCGTCTACTCATTCCTGCATCATGCCTCCTTCTCCACTCACCGTTAATGATCATCTTCAGGCAAGTAGCGCAGGGTCTCCTCGAGAAGTACAGTTGACAGTCAGCCAGGCGAGCACCATGTTGGATGATGGCTGCCTGTCCAGCGTGGAGCTCAGCTCCTGAACAATGAAGTCCCACCACTTTGCTTTCCCGCACCACCACCAGACCCATCCCATGGAGCTGAAGCACAGTACAGATACAGTTATTAATTTTACACACAAGTGCTAGTAAAGATGGACATGAATCGCTCCACAGAACTTGATGATTTTTTTCCCTAGATTGCATACATCACTGTGTTTTTATATTCAAACTAACCTGATTACCACCATCCTCCTCCGTTTGCTCCTGAGGGAATAACTCCATCCATAAACTCAGCAAGGTGAAGAGGTTTACCTTTGACAACCTGGGGCCATGACCTGAAGCAGAGACAAAGCTGAATTAAGCCATCTTGTGCACAATGCTTTCCTGAAAAGCTGCAGTTACACATGCTTGGATGAGAATATATACCATGAAGATTACTAATGTTTGCATGGTTTAAAGGCCCCACCGAAGCTAACTTGGCCTGTTGACTGAGATTTAGAAAAATATAACATTTATTTCAGATACACGCAGGTGAAGACCTATGTCTATTGATCTGAGGATGGGGATTTTGCCATATAATGTGAATAGGATAAGATGATCGGTCAAGTCTAAGATAAATATATGCAGCATTGTGTAATGTGTAAATAAAGGCTGTCAGCCGTGGCCATTTAAAGTGCCTCTCTGGTAAACTGTATCTCATGAAGCTGCGGTTTTGTGGCATGACAGAAGGGAAAAATATGAAGCTAAACTACTGGAAGAACTCTTCCTCCAGTTGGCTCACCTTGTATTTTGCTGTCAGTCTGGGTGCTGCTGTCTCTTGTTTCTCGACACGGTGTGGACCGGCCCGGATCGGCTCGGTTCCATATTTGGCTTTCTTCCATTCAATCAATCTGTCAGCTACAGAAAACGATATAATACGTCGACCCGACGTTCAGCAAGAGAAGAGCCGGATGAAGCTTTCTTTTGGTATCCTTTTTACTGTTAAGTTAGATAGTCACATGAATACTATTTTCAACCGACGCTTTCAAAATAAAAGCATAAAAAGACACCGATTTGGTAAATAAAGTTGCACCAATAAAGAAATTCACCTACAAATATGAACTTACACTTCAGAATATTTTTTTTTATAACGACTAGTTAAAGTCACGTTGAAATACGATGAGTAACGGTAACTCTCAGCAACCGGTGACTTTTTAAGTTACAGTGTTACAGTGCTAACATTACTAGCACTAACTCGCGTATTACGATACAATGATTCTTAATAAAACACTGTACAGCCGATAAATACTTGGACGAACGTAACTTCATGTCTTTCTACCGCAAGCAGAAACTGCCTCCCTCTTATTTAAAGGAGAAGGAGCCGTTCTTCTGTGACTTCGCTAGTGGACGGTATCTTGACAGTTCCGGATTCCTTCCGGAAATATTTTCTGACGCTGTCACATGGGCGGGGCCAATTGGTTGGCTGTCAGCACGCAACAAAGTACACATCATTTCAACTGCTAAACATAAGCAGTTAAGCCCATACACTTTTCCGAGCCCATACACTCACGTGCAAGCACATTGCTCTCATTCTCCACAGAGAGCAGTGGCGCATACCTGTGACATCACTAACCCTTATCTTACGTTGTCTTAAAGACACACCACACAATTGTGACTGTTACAAAGCGTTTTTGAACTAAAAATCAAGAATGTGGGATACTGTTTGTCATTTTATTGATAAATACATTTCATTTTTATACATTTTATTAATGAAAAATCGACTAAAATTTCACCAAAATGTACCACTTTTTATAAAAAATTTCCTTAAGTGATATATTCTTTTTAAAATCTCACATTCCCATCTATAATTTTGATTTATAGATGTTATATCATTCTATTTGCATGTATATTTTTCACGTTATCATTTTGCCATAAAACATAATTATTTGCATCAAAGAGCCAATAAAGAGCTAGACAATAAAAAAAATACAAAAATATACAAGAACAAAAATAGTTATGACAAGTGAACAAATCAGATTTAAGAAATATTTATTTCATCACAGAAATATAATCCCCATAGCTAAATTAAAAAAGTAAAATAATACAGTATGTCTCAAGTATGTAACAGCAACAGAATAATAATGCATACCCCAAACACTGCAATGCTGTAAGCTGAATATAAGCATGGACCTAATGGTTTTATAAACTTCTCCTAAACGATGAAAGAGACAGAGAGAGATAGAGAGAGAGAGAGAGAGAGAGAGAGAGAGAGAGAGAGAGAGAGAGAGAGAGAGAGAGAGAGAGAGAGAGAGAGAGGAGACAGAGTGTGTGTGGGAGGATGGCTGTTAGCTTACTGCCCGCTTTTTACTTCAGTTTAATTTAAAAAAAAAATGAAGGAACAGCTCATAAAAAACAAAACAAGCAGAAACTGTAAACCTAGACCTCATTTCCCGAAAACAATGATTTCCACAGAAGCTCTCAAAGCATCCTAAATTACTTTCCAGCCTGAACTGAAGCTGTGCTTAATAATAAATAGCAGTTCTGCTTTAGTTGGAGCGAACAGAAACTCCTCCTCAAGCATCTGAGTACATCAAGAAATAGAAACCTATCAAGGAAATAGAAACTGATCTCACATTGGCTTTACTGGGAGACGGCATGGTTGACATGTTGTCCTAAAGGCTAGGACGCACAGGGAGTTTTTGGTCATCAGACGACAAAGTAAAAGAATGAAAAAAAGTGCTTCAAAGCATTCCTCTTTCTTTAATATGCAATGTATCCTGTAGCTTTGTTTAGTGCAATTTCTGCTCCATATATAGAAAAACCTACAGAAACTAAGATGAATTCCTCTTAAGCACTTTTGTAGATTTATTTTTAATTTGCCCGAACACAGAAACCAACCTGTAATGATGAAAATGCTAATAATGCGGAAACCTGAGCAAGTTTCCACAGTACATGCCTTAGATACAACACATTTTACTTGCAATGGAAGAAAAAAAAAAAGGAGCTAATGCCGTAATTTTACCAAAGACTGTTATTTTTCTTAACTGAAAAGCGCAACTTTCTCAGTCTATATATTCCATAGATTTTTGAATAAGCTTAAAAAATCAACCTCTTAGTATTACGGAATATAAAGAGATGACTGTAGTGCTGCAGAGGAAATGTGAGGCAGAATGAACACACCTAGTATAACAGGTTTTAACTTCCCAAAATGTACAAAGGACATTTACCAAGCAAGCAACTCATAACAAACCACAGCAGGCTCTGCATCAGCTGTGTATGTCATGTATATGTATGAGTTTGTCTTTATCAATCAGTTGCTTTGAGTTAAATACAAAGAGCTGCTGAATACCAAATTAGAGCCTGACTTATATAAGATATCTAAGGCCGATACAGATATTTGGTGATTCAAAAATCTTACAGTCTGATATATTGGTCAATTTTTTTTTTTTTTCATTTCAGAGAAACTCAACAAATCAATTTCCCTAAATTGCTACGTTATTTACTCTGCTCAGATCAGCTATAGGTGCTCCAACAGGTAATGCCAAACTTACCCTGTGTCAGCTGGTGGACAAACTATGCAATGTCAGCAATCATAACATGGTAGAAGGGTCTTTCTCCCATCTCCTCGTTACTTTCTTAAGTTTTCCTGTATGAACGCAAACACTAACAGACTGGCAATTAACCAATGCAATCAATTCACCAATAAATTGGGCTCTACTGCTAAGTGTGTGAAACATGTTTACATTACAGTGTTCATCTCTTTAGATTAGGTCAGTAGTTTATTCCTTCCAGATCTTTGGTCCCTCACATGAACTTTTCCAGAGAGTGAATGAACAAAGCAAACGCTGCTGAGAAAAAATAAAAAAAATTCAAGTATACGTAACATATGTAAAGAACTTCCACAGAAAAGGCGCCATGGGTTTGGCCAAAGTGCTCATTTTAGATCCACAGATAACGCAGCTTAAAATCCAGTTAAAGCATCTTGTGAATAATGTTGTTTAAGTGCTTCTTTAAAGTATATATAAATAAGTATTTCAAGAAAGGGCCTCCTCTTTTGTCGTGGATGGGATCAACAGGAATGTGAAAACTGTGGTGTTGCATTCTGCTGCTGCACACGCAGCGTGACCAAATCCACTCGGTCATTAGTTGGTTTTTTTCTTTCTTTTTTAGGTTGCAGGAGCCTAAAAGCACCACTCAGTTCTTGAAGGCTCCACAGCGGCTAGCTTTGCTGATAAACTCCTTCAGCATTGCTCCGTCTACCTGCCAGAAGGCTTCGGTCTGAGTTACCCGAGTCAGGTGGTTTATGCAAAACCTGAAACAAAACTCTTCCAGGTCCTGGAAAATCAAACAATAGAAAAATAATAAGGAGATTAGATTGCAAAAGAAAGAACAAACATTCCGATGCTTATTTTACAGGGTGTTAAACCTTGTAATCCCTGACAGTTTTCCTTTGCTGCTATACCATAGTGCAGACTCGGGCAGACTGCCATCACTCTCAGACAGACTGGTGAAGGTTTGCAAATAACAGCTGTCTAATATTTAAACACAGACTGATTGTCAACATGTTGCAATCACCGTGTGAGTGCGCTGATCAGTATAATAGAGGACCCGACTCGACTGCTTGCATTCTTCTACACAGCAAGGTTGCTGAGCGGCTGCTGTGAAATTACTGCCCTGCAGCAACAACGTCATGAATTCTGGAGGAATTTCTGTTCAGGTGTCTGAGGTTCTGACTCTGAATGTGTGCAGTTAATATAAATTTCTGTTTATATATGTGTGTACGTCCTTCATTTTGGCCAGTTTATTACAGTTAATCACTATATTATCACAAACAGATTGCATGTAATTGCAGCCTTGACCCAAGCTCAAACTGATAGCAGACTGACTGTCGTATTGCAGTTTTATTGCACCCAAGTCATTTTTGAAGATGGACACTGACTGTGAGTCGTCGCAGACCTGATCCACGTCTTTAAAGCAATTATTTTAAAGGCAACAAGATCACAAGCTCATGGCACACAAACATTTTGGTCGTCTGGTCCAAAATGTGAATTTATCTACCACCTCAGCTTATCCACCTGACAAACCTGTTTATAACTGTACCTCTGCGTCGTATCGTATGGCAGCAGACAGCAGGGTGAAGGCGTTTTCCACAGTGATTCCTCTCTTGATGATCTGCTGACACAGGCGTTTCAGGCGGTTTTCACAATAAGAGGTGGCCAGGTCCAACAGGCCTGCAGCACAACACACAAACACACACACAGTGTCAAAAACAAACATCCTTCTACACACTCTAAGAACATATTTAACAGTTGCATTCATACTAACCAATGGCATCCTCAGGCGAAAGGTCAACAGTGTCTGTGTAAAGAAACTGCAGGAAGGACCTGTAGACGGGATACGAGAACTGGCCAATCTCTATCACTTCCTGCTGATCCTCCGTCCACTGGGAGCGAAACATTGAACGGAAATGCTCGCACCTAGCCGCGATAAAAATACTTTATTTACAATGTATACAAATGGTCAAATAGTCAAAACCTGACATGTTAAGGGCTGCCAACAAAAATCACAGGCTGCCTTAACTGCCCTGAAACAAAGCACAGCTACCAAATGCATCAAGGCTATCTTTCACTTATAGCTATGTAGATAATAAACACACCTGATCTTCAGCACAGCTTTGTGAACGTGGATGTATTTGCCATCAACACTGAACTTGAGGTCAGCCGTTTCTGGACTGTCGAACTCTTTCCTCATAGCCTCTGCAACCGTCAGGAAGTCATCTTGCTCTAGAAGAAAACCCCCCCGCAGTAGAAACAGTTCTAGTACTTAGACAGCTTTCATTTTTGTTTGTTTTTTACACAAATAATCCACAATTTGTTGTCTCTTCTCTCACCCATAGACATGAGGCGCCACATAACGGATGGCGTAGCGAAGCAGGCAAAGACGTCGTCTGTGTTGGTGAGGTGCGTGAGGTGTGGCAGGACAATGGATTGGCCCCGGCACTGACCCCACATAAAAACCTGGAGGAGGAGTGAAATGATAATGCTCCTGGATTTTTTTTGTCTTTTTTTTAGAATAAAGAATTCCAGAAACCAAAGAAATACAAGACTGTGCATCACTTTGAAAGATGAATGCTATACCTGCCCACTTTGGGTCTTGGCTGCCGACATGTGTGTCGAATGGCATGCTGCCACCTCGACGACCCTGCCAAATTAGAGACGTGTTAACACAGGGAAGCTTTTCCTTCTTAATTATTGTACTGAAACATGTCAAAAGTCTGAAAGCTGTTTTGCTGTGGCATGATTTGCCCCAAAATATCTACAATTAGGGAAAGAGCATTGTTTTGTTTACTGCAGACGACTACTTAAGACCAGGAGCGGAGGCAGAGGTACAGAGGGAGGAAATGAGGACAGGAAACTAAATATTAACAGGAAATGTCCGACACCCTTCCCTCTCCTTCCTACCTCTCTTTGTCAGCCATGATGTGCACAGGGCTGAGGTGGTTGCTCTTGGTGCCAGTTCCCAGTTGACCATAGGTATTTGCTCCCCAGGCATATAGCAGCCCTTTATCGGTTAGGGCCAGGCAGTGTCCATAGCCCGATACAATCTGGAAGGTAGGGATGGATTTAAATGCGGCTGATAAAAAAAATTACCCAATCAGATGTAAGCACAAACCATGAGTCATCCTCAAGGCAATTATTG